GTTGCTGGCTCGGTCCCTAATTAAGGTAAATATAAGCATTAGCTGGGACTCGGTATCAGCAGACAAGCGATATTAAAGGATTGGATCAGGCCAAAAAACTAGATTGGGGAGTACAGGTGCATTTATGAACATACATATACGAGAGTTTAACAGGAATAACCATTGGCCTTTAATTCAACCAGCACATGGTAGAGTGTCATACCAGAGTGGTGGGCTCCCAGGCTGTAGACGCAGATTTGTGGACTGGACCCAGCAGCTCCTTACAGAGTTCTCTGAGACGATACTCTGAGCCTGGAGGGAACGAACGAACAGACAGACAGACAGACAGACAGACAGACAGACACACACACATTTAGTCTCAGCATCCAACTGGTTTGTTGTGGGTTTTTTTAATACCCCTGTCAGTCTCTAGAAAGTGTGAAAACTTTAGACAGTGGCAGTCCGGTACCTTCGTTGACGAGGAAACGGGCGTAGATGAGCAGCCAGTAGCGATACTCCTGCGCTGACTGCAGAGTCAGAGCAGATGCCAGCTGATTCTCCAGGAAGGCCAGCGTCATGCTCTGCTGCAGGTGGTGAGGGGTGGACGAGAGGCGGGACGCCAGACGACCAGCACTGCAGGGACCAGACAGATTTTTTAAATTCACTTCTTTATGACATTTTATCTGGAGGAAGACGCTGGTGTTAAGAATGGGAGATTTAATATTAATGTCATACTTGAGATTGCGTCCCTGCATGACTGCCAACGGCCCTGAGGATGCAGGTGCATCGTGGGTAGATAAGCAGCTCCTGAAGTCAGCACACTGGACGAGAGAGTCTCCTTTATCGGCTATCAGAGTCCTGAGAGAGACACAGAAAAAGTTTATATTAGAAATCATGATCTGGATTATTAGTAGCAGCTGTTTTAGGCAGCAATGTGTTTCTGCCTCGTGCTGCGTCTCCACTCTTTCTCACCATGTCTCCAGTGAGGAGCTGAAGCAGTAAGACTTCCCATTGGACAGTCCAATGACTGGAACTCCCTGCTGAGTCAGCAGAGACTGAGATACTGTAGTGTCAGCACCTAAAGGCACAAACAAAAGGCTTTTAGGGAGAATAGCACGACTGGATTCTCCAGACTCACTGATATAAATAGTTGCCTAAGTCAATACAGTGTGGTTTTACATCATCTTCATAGAAAATCTCAGTCTTCAAAATAAACACTTATGGATTATCATGTGTTGAATGTTTTTTATAAAATTGTTAAAAATTTGAGGAATAGACTAATTTGTTTTCTTTCCAAATTCATTCATTTTAGGAGGAGCAGGAACATGCTGCAGTGTCTCACCAGATAAAATGGTCAGTAGAGACTCGTTCTTCACCAGAGCCTTCTGTTTCTGAACATCCCTGAACACAGACGGATAACAAATGAACAAACTGTTTTTATCACAAACACCAGCAAACTCATTAATGCTTTTGTATAGTTCATAAAAACATAAAAACCCTTGACTGAAACGGCCAATCTATCAGCTGGTACACAAATCTGTCAACAATATGCTATATAAATCAATATTTCTTTAAATATATCTCTGCAATTTAAGTATGAACCAGCATTTGTACCACACTTCCTTTAAAATATGTTCTTAAATTAGTTTAAACGGGTGACATGCTAAAAAAACATCCCTAATTAATACAAATTAAATCTAGAAAAACATTTCTGACAGAATATATGAGCACTGACCAGACGGACAGCGTTGCACCAGCAGTCAGAACCATGACGAAGTGTGAGGAGCAGTGCACAGCTGAGACAGGTGTGGCCAGCTGGATGGCTGGAAGGAGCCGCCGCCCACAGGAAGAGAACACTGACAACATCCTGTCCTGACAGGCGACTGCAAGGACATCACTGAGGGGTAGGAAGAGCAAAAACTGATTTAGTGTTGTTCATTAATGTGTTTATACAATCTGAATGATGGGTTTATCATATGAAAAATACTTTTCCACAATGGTGCAAGTGAAACAACTAAAGCATAAAGACAAGCTGTATCTATTTTATTTACAGTACAACACGAGACATCAGCGGAGCCTCCTACCTGCTCCCTGCCGCAGTGACCACTGAGCTGGGCAGCAGTGTGTTCCAGTCTCGTCCGTCTCTGGAGCATCGCAGCTGGCTGAGCTTCGAACCTGCGACCACAGACACCTCGTTCTCCACCTCCAGGAACACCGACGGCTCCATGCTCACCTACACACAGACACATTGTCCAACGGGTATGTAAGAAACAGTCATATCCTAACAATAATGTTCATAATGTTAAACTGCTATCTAAACAAACTTTAGATAGGAACATTGTGCGTAGAAAGGAGACTTTCATGAACAGATCCGTTTTGGTGATGCTGTCACCGATAGAGGGTGATTAAGAGCAGAATAGTGCATTAAACATAGTGGACTACATACTAACAGTGGTGTTTACTGATCGCAACAAACTGAAACCCCTCGCCTCAACCAAGCGCAAGGAGAAACTTTTGTGGCCACAAAATTCTAGTTCAACTAGAGCCAGTGTTTGGTTCGTCTGTTCTGTGGTTACTGTAGAAATATGGTGCTTCAACATGGCGGCCTTCCACTGTAGATAAAAATGGCTCAATCTAAGGTAACAGAAACACAACGATTCTTATTTTCAGGTTACAATACACTAATGAAAACATACCTATGAATATTATATTCTATTTCTGCCAACAGATCCTCCTAAATCGTATGCACTGGACTGTTATGTCCAGTAACATCATTGCAACTTCAGTTTGGAATTTGTAATTGTTCAAGCAGAAATATAAAATGCCAAATATGTCACTTCATATTGGTTGCAAACACACCATCCTGCCAGTTAAAATATGAAGAACCCCAAAACAAATAAGTAATTGCTTTGGTTTAAAAACAATTAGACTTTGTTACTGTCTACCTCCTACTTTCTAGGGGAATATGGATATGATTTAAGGTGAGTAAAACAAACCGTACATAATAGGTGGTTCTGGTCTAAGAATAAATTCCTGGCAATAACACATGTTGAATCTACCACGAAGGATTCACAGAAGAACAAACACACACACACACACACACACACAGTCAAAGTCACAGTGTGTTTGTTACCTGCAGACTGAAGGCTTTCTTTATACTTGGCGTTGGTAGTTTGAGAGCAGCTACAGGAGCTGGAGGAGCTGCCACCCTGCTGGGCTCCCGCTCTGCTGGAGGAGTTATCTGACAGGAAGAGGAGGAAGAAAAACCATGCACTTTTCTCTCTCTGGTGCTATGTACATCTATTCCAAGGACATCTGCACAAAAGGAGCTTTTACTAGAACCTTTCCATTCTACTTGCTATTTTGGTTTTAAAAAAAACTGTTAGTTGCGAAATATTTCTGATTTCAAAAATATTAAATTAATAAGGCTTTGACTGACTTTCCATTAAAACAGAGTCAATAATCTGTTAATGTTTTTTTAGAAAGGAATGAGTTGATCTCTTAGGATTCAATGATGTACGGGATTATTGAGGCTGACATAAATTCATCTTTTCCCTCCATCTCTCTACCTGAGTGAAGGGTTGGGCGATGGGAGCAGCCATCTTGTCTTTCCTGGGCCGTCCCTTCTTCCTCTTCTCCACCACCTCTCCTCCATCCATCTGCTCGGGCTTCCTCTTGCTGAACGACAGGTTTTTGTTTATGGTGGCCATCTTGTCCTCGCTGTCGCTGCTGGTGTCTTCTTTGGATTTTATGTCTTTTAGGGCAGAGATGCCATCTTTTGGCCTGCCGGACCAACAGAAAAATACATTTTTTTTTTACAGTTCGTTCTCTTTTTGAGTTTTGGTCCACCTCTACCCAATAACTCCACTTATACTGAGTCAATCACCTGTCTAGTGGTGTGAGTCCAGCGATGGAGGAGATGACGGCTGTGACCCCTGGTGTGGCCTTTGACCTCTCTGTGAACCTGGAGTCCAGAGCTTTCATTGGCTCGATCTTGGAGGCAGAAGTGAGGAGCAGACACGGCTTCACACTGAAATATAAGGAAACCAGAAAATGAGAAGGAGGGAATGAGGAGATCAAGGCCAATATAAACGAAGGCTAAAAAACAAAGAAGAGGAGGACAGAGGGAGTGACAGAGTTAGGAGTGAGAATCCTGGTCAGGAAGTAAACATTCACAGATAGAAAATTACAGAAAAAGAGTCAAATCTCAGAGAGGGTAGGAGTGAAAAGTAAAAGCTTGCTCTCAGCTCGTACCCGTCCTTGTTGTCCTCCAGGCCTTTGGCGATGCTGTTGGCTGGAGGCGAGGTGAGCATTGGGTCGTGGCTGGGCCTCAGTCCCAGAGAAGAGGCCTGTCCTGGGCTGGAATCGGAGCTGAGCTGGGAGGTGAGCTGGTTGGACATGGAGGAGCCCGAGGGCAGGATGGGAGCGCTGTTGAACAGAGCTGGAGAGAAATCCCTGCAGAGAAAGAGAGACAGCGATCTGTGTTTATATGACTATCACTACTAGTGCTACGGCTACTACTGCTAGGAACATGAGTCGGGGGTCACTTTGACTCAAGTAGAGTTCTTGACCTCCTGGTAACTAATTGAGGTTCTACAACCCCAGTCAGGTCAGGTCCAAATGATATTCAGACTTATCAGATGTGGTAGGATCTGGTCTGGGGTCTGTGTGTCAATATACACGCAACAATGTCTAATACCCTGGCCGATCCATCTCTGTCAGCTCTAATCACGTGGTGAGTCATCATCATTTTCGTCGTCAGGAGAAAAATGTGTTTTTGGAGGGAGAGAGTGAACTGTTAAGTTCAGGAAAAATGACATGTATTGCTGCTATTTTCCACCTTTGCTGCCCATTAACTGGTGGTGCTGCTGCCAGTGCTGGTGTGTCTCTCTCTGTTTGGAGCTGTTGATGTTTTAGATCTGGTCTAATTATCCTTGACTCAATATCGGACCTGTTGTGCTGTTACCTTGTTGTGCAGGAGAGGTGTGACCCTCTAAAAATAGCTAAAAAGACCCTAAGAGCTCTGCCAGTAGTAGTTTTAGCTCCCAGCAAGTTAGACCAAGTTGGATTTGTCATAGATCTTAGTTAACCTCACAAATGGTTTATTAAGCAAAAACACTTCAAATACACCATACATATTGTAGGTGGCACACAAGGGGAGGTGTCTGACAAAAGACAGCACACAAATGTATGGCACTAACAATTAACCTTTTTTTTATGTTGGGTGCGTCTAATATGTGTGGTGGATTTACTGATTGTCCACCAATGAAAGCCAGACAGTCCGGTTTCATGTTTTCTTACCCAGTGTCCAGCTGAGCGATACAGAGCGGTGTGATTCGTCTTCTGCCATCTGCGGTTCTCGTCTCCACCTGCTTCTTCAGAAGGTTCTGCAAGACGACAAAATAAAACATCAAGCTCCAAAAATATAATTGTTTTGACAGCTTTTATAAATGGAGCTCTGGAACTCATAAAACATACATATACATACATAATATCTAATACATCACTGATATCTGAATCTCCATTCACATATATTTGGATAGCCATCACTACATACTGTCTAAATGTGTAAATATATTCAGTTACTGTTTCTTCATATTCTCTTTCCAACATGAATGCATTTTGTCTGAAACTAAGTTGTGTGACTTATTATTATGCTGGCAAGAAAATCCCTTTATTAACTAAAACTGTTAGCTTGCATTTATCATAGAAGCGTATTAAGTAATTAAGTAAGTGATTTTAAGAGCAGATACGTGTATAAAATTCACACATGAATGAACAAATTATGATTCATATCATTATTAAACAGAACTCTGCTTTTCCTGAACCAAACCGACAGCAGTTCAACTTTAAGACGTTCCCACCTTCCTGATGTCCTCCAGAGACTCTCCGTTCATCACACTGTTGAGTTTGGGGGCTGAAGATTCAGGCCCGGCACAGCCCGGTCCTGAGATGGCCTGGCCCGAGTTCTGTCGCTCCTGCTGGTATTTGAGCATCTCAGGGTTCTCGATGATGGTGGTGGAAAGCTGAGCCTCGGTGCTGGTTATAGCCAGACTCTTACCGTAGATGTTCTGATGGATGCTGTTCTGTTTGTCAGAGGAATAGAGATAACATGTTTGATTTGGGTTCTTAATAGAATGATAGAAGGAAAACCAACAGCCAAATAAAAACCAAATAAAGAAAGAAAGAACTTGTATTATAAGCAGTCTTGTCCTGTCTTGTCCTCTGGTGTTCATACCAGTTAAGAACTGGTAAGAAATTATCACAACATACTGGTTGGGAACTAGTATTAGAGGGGAAACACTTGAGATTAATGATGCTGAGGAAAGAATGCAAACAGGATCTAGTTTAAGCCTAAGTCATTTATTTGTTTGTTTGGTTTATTGAGTTAAATAGCTAATTTTCTGTTCAGTATTTTATTGTCAGATGTGATTGCATGATGTCTAACCTTCTCCTCCTCACTTAGCGGATCTCCCAGTTCATCAAGTGAGAAGTCCAGGTAGGCTACAGTGCCATCCATCGAACACACCAACATCCCCAGACCTGTCAAAGTCCTGAGACACACACAGAAAACTCAGACATGTGGAGGGTGTACCAGTGATGCCATATAATCCTGTTCCTTAGTCTCAAACCATAGATAATAGAGTATGGAATAGGACTGGATACAGTTTGGCCGTCAGCCTTCTCCCAGTTGCCAACTGTGTCACAACACCCATCTAACACTCACCAGGAAATGTCCATAATTGATTTATCAAACAGATCGTGGATGACCACTAGAGGGCGCTTCAGAGAGGTCAGCTGAGGAAGAGAAACAGACGGAAAGGCAACATTAGTATTGTCAGGATCCCTTCCAGGGTTTGCTGACATATGCAGGCTTTTAGTCAGTATTACACGTAGATGAAAATATCAACGGCCAAAATGTCCAGTGGGAAATATGCCAAATAAGTATATATATTCATTAATAGCACATTAAACAGCCTCATATTGTGTGACCTATAAGATAGTTTGCCTAAGATGATTCAAATGGAAACTTTTATTATGCAAAGGTTTGGTTTTACCTCCAGTGACAGGAGGTCTCTGTCTGTCAGTATGTATGAGTGTGTGTGTGTTCATCTGATTGACACTTGGCAGGTGTATTTTTGGGAACCCAAGGTCAGTGTAATGTGGAGTTTGGTGCAATTTGGACACGTGACTTGTTCAATATTAATACACTTTGAATAAACAAGCGAACAGCATGCTGTGCAGCAGCGGGCAGTGTTTCAGTGCAGCACGGAGCGTCTCTCCTGCCGGCTGCTGATAGCGCTGTCAGCTTAACGGTAGAGGAGGAGAAGTAGCTGCTTCTCACATCTGTTTAAACAGGAGTTGATCCGTGAAAATCTGCAACTTGACTGAGGAACTCTCATCACTGGAATTAACGTATGTATTACTGTTTTCTATATAAACAAACAAAACTTTTTAAACAAACGGACCCAGACGGAGAGTGATCGGTCTTTGCTGCCGACAGCGCAGCAGCAGTACGGACAGCCTGGTTTTGGAGAGCTGCCGTTCTTCTGCTTCTTCTTAAAGATCTTTGGGTTGAATTTCTACGGAGAAAGAAACCAGATCTGTATCAGTACACAGATAGATTGTGAGTAAAAGGCACGGTGAACATGTGGCTAAAACTTCCTTACCACCACAGTGACCGCTTTACGGTGGCCCACAAAGTCCATATTAGTCTTCCAGCCGTCTCTCTCCACGATCTGAGCGGTGGGACCGGAATTGTTCATGGCGTGAGCTGACACCAGATACTGACCATCTGGAGACCAGGACAGACGCAGGACGTGGGTCGTCCCGCCACACTGAGACACCGAAAAAGACAAGAAAAGAAAATGATTCAAACCCTGACTGGTGAAATGTGGCAGAACTGGCAGGAGAATATACAGACATATGACAGATCCAACGAAAAACCTGAATAAATGAGTGAAAACGTAAGCAGATGTTTCCCTGTAATACAGCCATTACAATGTCAACTGCCTACTCTCACAGCATCAACAAACACAGCCAACAGCAACAGTGTTTCTGTACCTCGCTGAAGGGTTTGGTGATGTTGGCATCCATCTGCCAGTCCACTGTCCTCCACACTTTGAGGCTGTGGTCGTCGGCCTGGGAGGCAATGTACTTCCCCACTGGATCCCACGTCAGACCTTTCACCAACCCAGTGTGTCCTCGCAGACAAGTCACCATCTCTGGAGAGACAGAGAGACGGATGATGAGCCGACAAGAGGGAAATGTCTTCATGCTCTATCAGCAGGTTATACTGAATGGTGTTAGTAATAATGAAGACAGTGTTATGGGCTCACTTTTAAGAAATACAATTAGTATTAATTAATCATTTCAAGCTAAACTTCTAAACAAAAATTCTAGCTTTTCAAATATGTGGATGTGCTTTGATTGTCTTTGATAGTAGACTGAATATTTACATTTATTTAGTTGCAGACCTGTTGCAATATAAATTACAATACAGTATGCAATACAGGGTTTTCAGTATTTTGTGTGTATTAGTATTATAAGTATTGTTTAACTTCATCTGGTAGCAGTCTTTATGCTACACTAAGCGGTTGCTCACTGTAGTGTCATATTTACCATACAAACAACACAGAGTGGTATCCTTTAAATTCTGCTTATGATGAATGAAACAACACACAGTCAGGTGAAACTGTGAAAAATGTTTATGGTGTTCTATTTTTGCAAATGATACCTTTTAAAATGTAGTGACTTTTAATTCTAGACTAGCGTGTATCCATTTTTTTCCCCAGCTGCGATGCTACAAAAAGGGTGAGCTCTGGTTTTGGTGTCTCCTACCTGGAAACTTGCGAGCGTTCCAGATGACAATAGTGTTGTCCACGCTGCAGGAGGCCAGCCACACGTCATGAGGAGACCACGCCACGTCCATCACATCTGCAAACAAAAAAAAACACACACACACTGAAATCCCTGCCTCATCCCTCAAAGGTTCCCTGTGGCGTTTTGGACCTCAAGCAGCACTATGGAGCCCTCTTTCTATGAGTGGGTTGAGGTATTAGTGTGCACGTCGGAGGTTTCTGATGCGTATAAATGTGCATTTAAATGTTTTTTTGTGCGTCTTACCTCCAGTGTGGTTCCTCAGGATTGTGACACACCTCCACTGCTCCACGTTGGCCAGCTTACTGCTTGACCCGAAAACCGTGCTTGGGCCGATGAATCTACCAAAAAACAAACAAAAAAAAACACACACGTGGTCAAAACCAAACAGCTCAAACCACCAGCTTTCTTTTCAATATAGAAAACTTTCTGTGGTCAAAAAAAGAACTGATCGAAAAAGATCGCCATCCGTATTTGCACAGTTTGAGTTTGTGTGTGTGTGTGTGTGTGTATACATACGCAGCTCTCTTCCACACCATGACCAGCTTGTCGTCTCCTCCTGATGCCAGGTACAACCCATTGTTGGACCAGCGCACACAGTTCACACACGCTGCAGAGACAAACAAACACTTGTTTGCTAACTCCAGTTCTAAATAAAACGTGTATGGATTTGTGCTGAGGAGGCTGTGTGTTATGCTGGGCATTAATACCTGCAGTGCAAGACATTCCTATTATTACATCTGACTGCTAGTACATTTATTAGGTCCTTTCACACTACAGCACTGTGTTTTTCTCAGCAGTAGTGCAGGAAATATGAAGTTATTTTAATCTTTTTCTCTAGGGAACACTATTACATGAGCAGTATTAGTTTTCCGTGGAGAACAAAAATGTGGGAAAAGATTCAAACCAGCGACTACCTGATCAGAATCCAACTGGTCCTCCATTTACGCATGGCTACATTGACCACGTAACCATTTCTACATTCAACAGGCTAATCTGAATCAACATGGCTGGTTACCTAAGTGATTGTCCATCTGGCAAAGCATTTTGGGAATATTCTCATTCTTCTCGTCATCCTCTCGGAGGACTGGCGCCATGTTCCAAATCATCACCTTGCCAGAATCCTCTCCTGAAATACATACATAAAAAAAAAAATAAATAAATAAAAATGCAACGATTAAGACATCTTGGTGTTTTAATCTGAAATCCCCAAACAAGTAGAGACGGACGAGGAAGTCTGAGGCTGCAGGAGAACATTTAGTACTGTCTCATCAGCCGAGAACTTCATCAAGCACAACATCTTAACAGTGAAAGAGGTTCGATGCTAGAGGCAGTAAGCGATACAATACAGCTGGTCTTACCCTGTCCACCGGTTGCAAACTTTGTCCCATCAGGGTGGATGTCAACAGAAAATATGGGTTTGCCTGTGAGACACACAAGTCAACATTTAATGACATTTATCAAATCCTAGATGCACAGACACAGACTAACAGATACTATACAGTGATTTTGCAGAACAGAAGAAAGAAAGTAGTTGTTGGGAAACATTATATGGGACACATTTCAACACGGGAATATCACAGTGACATCCGTGGTTTTAAACCAGGCTTCATATTGTTGGCCTTCTGGAAAATTCCTGAACTTCTCTGTGATTTTTCCACAGCTAAATCAGAGCAAGACGAGATCTGACAGTGTTCTTTCTTTCATGGTTTTGTTAGTGACTGTGGATTAAATCGACATGCTGTCAAGCATTTTTCCGACTCTCTCTTCATAAAGTACAGTTAAAGTACACAATATACCAATAAATAAATAAATAAATAAAAATCAAACCACTAACTTATATTTACCCTGTGTATATTACGTAGGTCTAACAAATAGTGTTGCAACATTAGAGGTGTCAAACAAAACACAGATCATGATCAGATGTTACAATGCAGAGACAACAAGCAGCATACATTGCAGATTGAGGCTTTAGAAACTAATTTCTTTTAATTATAATAAGCGGTTTTGCAAAGCATGAAAGCCCTTGGTGTTTGCTTATGTGTGTCTATATGTTATTTCATCTTGTGAGGGGGAAAAGTTGCTGGTTTTAGCTTCTCAAATGTGAGTATTTGACCATTTTTTCTGTTTTAAATCATTAACAATTGAGTATCTTTGACTTTTGGACTGTTAGTCAGACATAACACATCTGAAGACGTCCCTTTGGCTTTTGGGAAAAGCATGTCTCACTCAATAGATAACATAATTAACTTATCATTTGTAATTTGATTAATATTACGGTAAAGTATGGACAGATTCACTGATAATAAAACACAATTGCAGTCCTATTGTATTATTTTACTGCAGCTTTTGCTTTGGTTTTTATTTCTGGCTTCATCATCTACCCATGCCTGTGTTTCTAGGGACTCTCTAGACGTTATGAAGACACATGAACACTGGAGGAAGAAGGTAACTCGTGTTAACCTACCAGCATTAGTACTTAAAGACACTTATCAGCAGATTATCAATATTTGCTTGCTTTCTCCGTGTCGTACCACTGTAAATGTCGCCAGTTATGGGCCGTTAAGTCAGATAAAAACGTCGCCATAGAAACATACGACTACACTAATGACAGTGTCGTTAGCTGCAACCTAAATTCAGGCCATCTCTCTAACGGTTAACTTTACAAACTGACAGCTTGGAGACACTTTTTCAGCTGCATGTCGAGCTTGGTCACCGTCACTAAAATGTCGTATGGGACGCCAAAAACACCAAACATCAAGTCACTTTGAGGCAGTAACTTCGACATGGGTCAACTGGCAGGTAAGTTAGCTAGCGTCAGGGCATCTGAGCTAGCCGGGGGGGCTAACTAGCTAGCTAACGTTAGCTACGGTTAGCAAACATTGGTACATATGGAAAAGCGAGGAGTAACACTGATAATGACAAAAACACCCGCTGTGTGTGTTCAGCTGTTGAGTTCAGTCTGGTTTGGGAGGGACTATTAGGTGACAAACGGGTCAAACAAGTGTCGACCCCACCACCATCATGCCTCCTTATCAATTCACCCTCCTCCGACAACAAAAGCCCAACTTGGTCCAACAGATTCCTGCACAAGCTTACCGTTGTGGCTCACCCAGCTCGGCTTCAGCAGCTTCATTTTCTACCAGATTGTTTTAATTTCCTCCTATGTTATTATCAACAAACAATCCATCCAGCCTTCAGTTGAGTTGGAGAACTAACGCTAACCCCCTTCTCTTTGTCTCAAACTCTGTCCGACACTTTGTTGTTTTTGTGATTCAACTCCATCCTTGCAGCAGCAGCAGCAGCAGCATCCCCGGGACTCCGAGCCGAGCGGCGGCAGACAGGCGGCCCGGACGACAGGCGAGGTGACACCACGCAGCTCTGGAACTGTTTCCGTTACTTTTGACCGCGGACCGGAAAAACGTTCAGGGAAGCTGTCACAATAATTCCAGAGGGGGGAACTTTGTACATTTTTTAAAAGATATAGTGGGAAAAAAACAGTCGGTATTATGTTTTAGTGTTCTTTTCACTGTAACTAATTAAACCCGAGAGCAAAAAGAATCATATTTGTTACGTCGGTGTAAAATCTTCTTGATACGGCTTTTATTTTGAAAAATTATATAAGCGTTAGTGCGCAAACGCAGAATTTAAAATGTCAAGAAAAGTATGAGGAGGCAGTGGGTCATTTAAATGATAAGGTGAAAGGTAGAAACAATTAGATGCATTACAAAGTGATAAACGCATGCCCTAAATCGTTGTTTTTTTTATGTGTTTTTCTCTTTGTATTATGAATGTATTATGACAATTTGTTTCCAACTAATGCAGCTGTTCTTGGAGTTTGCACAATGTGTTTAAATTGGGTGTCACTTTATAAGGTATTTTGTAATTTGGTGGTTTAAGATGTAAAAAGTTACAGAACATTTAGGGCAAGATGCCTCTGAGGGCAGTTTTGGCTCTCAAACAATACAGTTTTAAGTAAAGTTTTTTGAAAACATATCTTATTGTTCAGACGCAGAAACAATAAATTGTTGTTATAAATGACAAATGAAACTGGGATTTATGAGAGGTTCATAAAAACATACATAAAATACAAAATACAGCCTAATTTGTATTTACTAATGTTATCGTAATAAAACAAATGTTTTAAAAATGGCCTGCTATGAGCCTAATATCTCATATGAACAAAAAGACATATTGCAGCTGGTTTTTATATTAGGTGTACATGTTTGCACAACTTTTAACCTATTTTCTATTTCAGCCCTTAAAGAGATGGTAATTTAATTAGTAATGAATAAAATCTAAAGTTTCTTTTTACAGACAATTTCAATATATACAAGGATACAAGGTTATTTATGTATGTATAATGATATTCCAGTTTTCGTTCCCTTTATGCTACCTGTAAAACCAAAATATATATACAAAAAAAAAAAATGATAAACATTAATAAGTCATAAAATCATACAGTTCTTTATAGCTGGATTGTATCCCACCAAGCAACCATTCGGCACCTGGAATTAGTTTTTTAAAAGGATTATCTTTTTGAATCCATGTATTTTAGATAAATACATCATCCTGCCAGAATTTTGTATTTGCTTTAATATGATTGCACTGATGTCTTTCTACCGTGTGCATAACATGGCGGTTAAAATAATAATAAAGCTGAAGATCCTTGAATCATTACTGCATAACACACAGCTCAGGGATTTTATTGAAGAACACAGTTAATGGTATGATTCAGTTTTACACCGGGATAATGAACACAAGTTGGGAAATTCATGGCGGAGAATTGGGAACAAAGAGCATCATTTCATCCTGTCCAGACTAAATTATGAGTGAAACACCCAGCCAGCCCAGCAGAAAAAGGGTATAAAGCGTGGAATTAATTATATCTATTTCATAGCTTCAAAGAACACATTGCAAACAAACAATACAAACATACAGTCATTTATTCCAATAGAGAGACAAATGAGTAAAAAAGGAAAAAAGAAGGGCATAAAATCATATGAACTGTAAAAAAGAGTTACAAAAATAGTCAGATAATTTTTTTTCTTCAAAGAAGTCACGTCTTCTTGAGTATGAAATAATAACTATGTGAAGCGTGTAGAAGTCAGATAAGACATGTTTAAAATATTTTGTTTAAGAGTACCCCAAGTGAAAATGTTTACTAAAAAAACATTACAAAAACACACCCAGAATCTTGCTTGTACGATACTTTACAGTTTGTAATTTTATTTGTTCATAGTTTTGCATGACAGAATCTGTTTAGTTTCACTTCATTTCTCTGATGATGTAAACCGCACAGTTACATTTACAGTCAGTGTAAACAGCAAACTCACTTCCCAAAACATCAGTGCAATAAAGTTTCTGCAAAATTCCTTCAAAGACGCACTTTGTTTCGAGTAGAAGGTGCAAGGACACCGGACATTATTCTCATCTAGTAAAAGGAGAAAATAATTCTGATGCATTGGCACTGAATCACATGAATACCAATACTGTTTTAAAAACTATGTGTTCCCTACACTCTGTTATAGCATTGTACCAGCTTATCTTTGATCAAACATATTGTTAGTATAGAAAAAGTTTAACCCACTGAAATAACAAATGTGAGGATTAAGACAGATCCTGTGTTTTAAACCATAACTGGTTTAAAAATGGAACATCGGTGATCATTAGAAATATGCTGCAGCAGTGGTTTGAGAAACAACTATGGATACCTGATATTAATTCAAGCTTAACAGCCTCTTTTCTCTTTTTGACACTCAAAGGAACAATTTGGGGTGGAGTATACCTTTGTTACTTAACAGTAGAGAATCCAAGACCCCAGTGTTATATAACTTTTACTATGTACATGATTTTCAGTTTAGTTTAGTATAGCTTTCTATAAAGGTGGGTAACTGTCAAACTGCCCACAAAAGGAAATTTTAAACCTGTGCAGAAAAACTTTGCTGATCAGAGATCAGATTTAGAGGAGAGCTACAGCAGTGAGACCTGCAGGGGGCAGTGTAGAGTTGTCTTGCTAGAGGTAGCAGCACTGAGGATGCCAGTTCCTCTCCACCAGTCTCAAGTGTCCCATCCAGTCCAACTGTTTTGACACTAAAACTGCACTGAATCTGCTCACTGGGAGTCACTCTACAACAGTGTTTAAAAGAGTGTTTTAGTCTAATTTTGAAACCCATTTCTTATTTTGTTGTGGTTAGAGATGTTTTTTCTCAGCACAAGAACATATTCAAAGGATTTCACATGCGGAAAACTGTATTTAATGGCCTGATTATTAAATAGTTTAATGTTGGAGGTCAGACTTCCTGCAGAAACAGATGATTTACAACCAGTCACCAGTATAGGCAGACCTCATTGATATATATATGGGATGGACAAATATTAGCAACACCTCTCAGTTCAGCAGCACCTTAACTTGCATCCTCCAAAATGATCACACATTTGAATCAGCACCTCCCTGAAACAGTCTGAACAAAAAATTAACATTGTAAGAGATAAGATAATTTCAAGAGTTATTACAGTGCTGTTGTATTAGTGTGTGATAAGAAAGTTTTCAATCAAGCTTCATAGCTTTATAGGTATAGAAAGGTTTTGTAAAATGCCCACACAGTGTCAGTTGACACTTTTTGTTTTGTTGTTTGTTTGTTTTTTACATGTGATGTTTTCTTAGCAGAAGGGGGGGGCTTCAGGAACCTGATGTCCCTCTGAAAGTGGCTTCGATCTGCTCAAGTGTCTTGCCCTTGGTTTCTGGGATGAAGGCGATGGTGAAGATGACGTTGAGGATGCACATACAGGCGAAGAGCCAGAAGGTTCCAGCGCTGGTTAGAATACTCTGAAAGAGTTTGCAGTTATAAAGACATGGATGTCTCAGTGATGTCGGAAAGTTTCACAATACATACCAAAACACACAAGAAGGCAACAGGACTGTATTATTATTTATTAATTATCAAATAATTTGCTGATTTGCAAATAAAAAGCTTTAAGTTGAATGGACAGTGAATGACCAAAAACAATATCTTTACCCATGTCCTATCAGGCCTCCCATAAAAAAATTTAACGTCCCAAAATGTATTTTTAACCAAAACCCTTCAAATAGTGTCCTGATGAGCACTCACCATCATGTCTTGAAAGGTTTTAGTGACGATGAACGCCATAGTCCAGTTGGTGAGGACGCAGACAGCGCTGGCTACCCCCCTCACTTTGGCTGGGAAAATCTCCGACATGACCAGCCATGGGATCGGGCCCCAACCAAGCGCAAAACCTGGACACAGTAACAATTATTAATGTAGTACGATCCATATGCTCTTGACAATCACCTGTGTAATAGGGCTGTGCATTGTCAAGAATCTGGCGATACGATACGTATCAAAATGCAGGGGTTACAATTATATATACTGCAATACTGTAAGCACGGCGGTATATTGCGATTAAAAACGAATTTCATTTTAAGAAAACTGTCATAGTATAAAGAAAACACTATCATATGAATAAAATCTGAACTGTGGGATCTGCATTTGTATTTCTCACAATCCCTGTAATATCCAACATCATAGCCTTCCGTTTATTTTTACAACAGCGGTTAGGGGTTTATACACACAAATCAATGTTTTTGAGAACTTAAAACACTTAACACACATACTCAAGTGTATCAATATTTCCTTACTGTGTGGTTGCCCTAAGTTTTGTCTAAGTTGATTTATTCCTTTTGTGACATTAGACGCTTTGCAGATGACACCCAAATTTAGCTCAGATATTGCGTCAGAAATATCCACTTTGACCTGAACATTTAAATATAAAATCTTGCATTCTGCTGATTAGTTGGCTTCAGTAACTTTGACTGGATTAATGGATCTCACCAGTGATGAAGACCGCCATGCTGGCCAGGGCCAGCCAGGCCAGGTCAGCATGGGGTTCTTCGCCAGCTTTGCTCTGGATGTCCAACATCAAGAGGCTCAGCGACGTGGTGCTGTGAAGTTTGGACATCAGGTAGAAGTAAACCCCGAACGCTGTGGTGCTGATTGCCATGGCAACACCTTGGTTGTTAATGGGAAAACAAACAAAATCAGTCATGACTTGGCACTCTTGTCTGGTACTAAAGAGATTAAATTATGTTATTCCAACACCCAAAACCACTATCCAATTAAATAAAAGGAAATAAAATACTTCAAATAAATGTTTGTATTTTCTTTATAAGAGTCAATAGTAGAGACACAAGAGTAAATGAGATGAGAATTTTCTGCTATTAAAAAAAGAATTAGTTTAAAATATTAACTTGACTGAAAATACCTGAGATAATGAGAAGAGCTTTCCTTCCTGCTTTGTCCATGATCAGCGCTGCCACTCCTGTAAAGACGACCTGAATCAGACCCACGATCACTGAGGCCAGGTCACTCTCCTGAAAAACAACAAAACTTTCACATGTAAACTTTCAACAAGACAAAACTGTGTTTTCACCCAAAATTGACAAAAAGTGCTTTCTGATGTGTTCACACATGGTTGCAGTTTCCTTTCTGTGTGGAATTTCTAGTTGAAGTTTTGTCAGTTTATCTTTTAAAATGTACTTTTTGTTTGCATTTAGATTCAGTTGTAGTTTAAAATAGATACAGTACTATATTAAAGTTTAATTACTGATAAGAACAGGTAGTTGTGTCATACAAACAGTAGATTCATCATGGTTTCGATTGATGATTTTTTTATTGTTCTTATTATTCTTTGTTCTTAAAGACCAACGTGGAGTGGTTTTGGTAAGAACAGGCCAATTATGGTTGTATTCTGCTGTGTTAATTTACCAGTAAATAATAAGTTAAACCTCACCTTAAAATGTGCCTGTTCAAATATGCTCTCAGCGTAGAACATGATAGCATTGATCCCCGTCATCTGCTGAAATAACATCAGCATGACGCCGATCACCAGAGGCTTGTAGACACCAGGGTCTTTCAGGTCTGACATATGGAAACTGGAGCCCTGAGACAAAACAAAAAGACGATACAATCAGCGAGGCATTTGAGTGTCTGCGACTGCTGTTTGACCCTTTGACTTGGTGCGGTCTAAAATTTTCTGGTCATTTGTTGATTTGAGTCTTTGGTTTCTGCAGCATTTCCTGTGGTGACTTCACTCAGTACCTGTCTCTGTTCCACCTCTGCTCAATCACAAACCACATTCTCACAGCAGACACTGTCCACCACATCACAGCCACGCCAACCAACCACGGACTTGCCTGCTCATCACAGGCGTCCTCAATGCGGGCGCACTCCCATTCGACAGGAGCGTCCGGTCCTCGCAGAAAGCGTAGAGCCTCCTCAGCCTCCCGCCTCTTGCCCTGTGACAGCAGGAAGCGGGGCGTCTCTGGCATGAAGCACATACAGACCATCAGCAGTGTAGGCGGGATGGAGCTGCAGATTGCCAGCCAGCGCCAGTCCAGGAAAAGACCTGCAGGATGAGTTCATATCGCTCAGAAGCTGGATTCAGACATTATTTTGAAATTTTGGTAAAAATGTATGTGATTGTGAAAACACAGGAGTTACGAATTGGCTGCCGATCAACTAATCGACTAGTTGTCTCAGCTCTATCCAGGACAGATTATGGATCAGCCTCAGTCTATCAGTTCATCCATCACGCAACAATATGTGAGATCAAGATATTTACACCATATTAACATATTATGGAGTAAAAACAACAAATACAATACTGACAAAACAATGGCACCCAGCAGAAATGAAGTGTGGAACAACATATATGAACAAAGACATCTTGATCTTTCAACCTCGAGTTGCCCACCTTCCCTTTTACATACTGTTTTCAAGTTTAGCAAATAACATAACATTTCTCTTCTCTTTTCTCTCATGTTTTAAATTCTTATTTCCATACTTAACAAGTGTTACACAATTATATAGGTTCTTAAACTTTAAGAATATGATCAGGTAACAGACTGAGAGGATGTTGAAGGATCCTGAACGCCTTGAGGATTCAAGGGGCCTCCCAATAATATAAATATCAAAATTCACACATGACATCAGTGTCCTTTGTCCCCTAGTCCCCATTTTTTGACCCAAGAAGATGTGAGTTTTTCTCCAGAGGTGTCATGCCTGGCATTGAACTGTACACAACAGACTGAAGACTGCAGCACACAGTGGAGCTTTGTTAAGTCCAGGTTTCCTCACGAACGTCTGCATCTGCTGCATCTAAAAATATGCTTCTCGGCTGATCTGATTGTTCCACTGAATTTTCTACAACGATCTCATTGCTCATCTATGTGCTGAACAGCTGCTGGTTTGTGACAGTTTCTTTTATTTTTCTAGCTTGCAAACTAACAGTTATTGCTGATAAACATGATTACATGGAACATATTTTCCCATTCTACATAAAGCTATTCCATCTGGGGATTACTTTCTCTTCATACTGACCGAGGTACAAATGTACCATAAAATTTAGGAACTTTAGTTAATTGAATCATTTGCTAACTTGTCCTTTATATAGTATCGACTAAATAAATACCAAACGCTTTACACATTAAAGGGCCATTCAACCCAAATGTTATAACAACCATATATTTTTTCACTGTCCTCTAACATGAGACAACCCATCTCATGTGACTCACCAGCTTCTATTGAGTAAACGTGAATGGCATGCAGCTAACTACATTAGTGAGAAGCAGCTACTTTCACAAAGGGCAACCAGTGAGGCTGCTGTCGAAGAGGCAGATCATATCTGAGCCTGATCACATCACATGATGGCCAGGTTTTGGTCATCTGTTCTTCACAACCTTTGATCCACAGGTTTAAAACAGCACAACCTCAGAAAAAAGCACTTTAAACAAAGTCGTGTTGCACAGGGTGTTTGACAGAGCTAATATGTAATAGATAATAACCAGAAAGAGCAAAAATATTACATAGTTTCAGATAAAAGAGCAGGTTTATAGCTCTGCATTATGTATATAATGCAGGATGTTGTAACATTAGAGGTTATATCATGGAAAGCTCTTAATGATTTACAGATTGTAAACTGCTCTGTTAGAGTAACCTTGTGGTTGCGCTTCTCTTGTCAAGTCAAGTCAAAATATATTCACAAGACCCAAATTCACAATTTGTCACAGGGGGCTTTATATTCTGTATGGTATGAACCTTCGTTCTTCTGTTCATCTAAACATTTAGCCAGTTTCAATAACCTGTGGTCAGACTTAACAAAATGAGATTCAAGGACACCATAAACACCTCAAAGCTGAGCTTACATACCTGCGAGATACACTCCCATGATGCCTAGCACCACCATGAGTTGCACACAGGAGCCTAATGTCCCACGTACCCGCTCGTGTGCCATCTCAGAGATATACAGCTGTAAGAAGAAAAATTACACAGGAGGATGGTTCATAAAACCACAAAAATAGAGGAAAGTAAACATCAAAAGTTACCAGCGTCCAAAATTATGTCCTTAAATTATTATGTCCTTTTTTTGTCATTCAAACTCAAACATATTAAATTTACCATGATATAAAATAAAGAAACACAGCAAATGCTCACATGCGAGAAGCTAAAACCATAGGATGTTTGAAATTTTTGCTTTATACATACTTGAATATACTAGTATATTTTTCGTCAATGATTAATCAATTATCTTACTAAAGTCATTCATATAACAAAATATATTCTAGCAATTAACAATTTTTATGTTTCAGAGATTTTCATGTTTTCTAAATATTGAAGCCTAAAAATGACTTTAAAATGATGAATGACTTTATAATTGCAGATTAACTGCTGTTAAACTGGATGTTTCAGAGCATTCACACCAAGGAAGCAAATGGCTGACTAAAACCGACTGCTCGAAGTAATCTGACTTTTAATGTGTGTGTATTCATAGTGAAGCTGATGTCCACAGGGCAGAAAATCACAGTATGAACACCAACAGAGGAAAGCAAGAAAAAGACAAAGAAAATCCACGCCATGTCAGTGCTAGGATGGAATGAGGATGAAGCAGGAACCTGAATCCTTACCGGGACGACCAGTGACGTGACCCCGCTGGCGAGGCCGGTGAGCACTCTGCCGATGTACAGCATCCATATGTTCTGTGCTGCGATGATGATGGTAAAGCCAAAGACGAATGGCAGTGAGCAGAACATCAGACTGAGCTTCCTGCCGATCTTCCCCACCATCCAACCGCCCAGCAGGCCGCCGGCCGCTGCTCCCACTGTCACTATGGACTGAAAGACAACCAACACAGAGCTTCAGGAAATGACTTCTATACATTTATCAGCATTTTACATTTTTAATACTCCAAGTTAAGCACATGTAAGAACTAGAGTTGGTAAATTATTGCCATTTCAAATAGTTCAAATCTGCTATTTTTTGCTGACTAGGTTTTCTGTTTAAACCCTTCAGTCATGTTTACCTATGATGCTAATTTCATTTTATAAGACCAGGCCAGCATGTCCTCACACAAATACCCATTTAACAGGAATAACTATACACATTCAATGTATAAAAAGAAGCCGCAATCATTAAACTAATATTGACGTTTGATGATTGGATGTGTGTGAAATGCACCTTGGGAGTCGTAGTTGACTTCTCTCTTTCAGTAGTACAGGCCTCTACCTTTTACTCATTAATCAAAGAACCACACATTTTCTAACACAGTTGTTCATTTATTTGTCCTGATGATTGACCTGTGAGAGTTCAGTCACCTGACATTACTACTACATTACTACTCTATCTTTTACTCATTAATCAAAGAACCAGACCTAACATATGCTATATTTCCTATAGAGTGCGCTATACTCACTGTCTGTCTTTTTATTCTAGTGTCTGAATGAGTGAGAAATTTAAATGTTTATTAGCCTTATCAGCTACTTTAAATAACTTCTGCAAATTTTCAGGAACTAATCCAAATTTAGCTTAAAATATTAGTAAGTTGGCAAATCTTTTATTTTAATTGCATTTGGATTCTGTTACTATGAGCTCTTTTCTCTACGTCTTTATACTGTAATTAGGTTTTGAACTCCAACGAGGTCAGTTGGGACAACATGTGATGACATAAAACTGCTGATGAATTAAAAATGCACTGTCTAACAGCTGTTCTGCTTTGAGGCATGTGATATTAAATCATTATAGCTGCCGTCATACCCCAAACCAGGAGGCCTGGTTATCGTCCAGCCGCAGCCGAGGGTCAGCAATCTTGGTTAGTTCAGGAATGGCGGGAGAGCTGTATCCCAACACAAACCCGAAACTCATGGGACCCAGAACGGACGCAAACGTTGCCAGGTACAAATTCTTGTTCTTCACTTTACTGTGGAGAGAAAGAGGAACAGAGTTTTAAATAATGTAATTTATATTCTGTCTATTCAGTTACATTACTTTTAATATTATAAAAGTAAGTATTAACAGTTGAAACACTAAGAGTGATACAAACACAGTTTAATCCATACTTGTAGAGTAAGTACACCAACTT